CAAAGCTGTTGGGAAAGATGCAAATTGACAGAAGAAATGACCTATTAAGCGTTCAGCTGATGGCAAGCAGGTTCTCCGGCTTGCAAAGCGTATCCATTTCTAAGAAAAGCTGAGCAGTGAACATCAGTTGAGCCGTAACAACAAAGTGAATCATAGTTTTCCTTTCTATCATCAGCTCAATTTACCGCTCCCCTTGATTTTCACTATTTCATTGTTGACTTGTCGTAATCGCTCACTATTACTTAATATGCTTTGATATTGGGCGTTGGTGACTCAAAAATACCATATTTAACCATTTATTCATTTTGCGCAGACTTATACGAAATTGGAGGTGACAATATGACAAAATTAAAAATGCATCGCTCTTCATATTCACAGCAAACTTTTTTCATAATGAAGAAGTATGATAAGCCTAAATCATCTGCAGTTACTGCTTCACGCGAGTTTTCCACTATGTTATCATCTCCTTGAAGAACTTCTGGTAACATGTAAACCAGTTTAGTTAATTTTCTAACCTCTTATCCGTTCACCCTATCAATATCTTCGAACATTAGTTCTTGCAGAATAGTTACGTCTCACTGGATGGATTTTTTTTTCAAATCTAGACTTATTTTGAAACAATTTTTCAGTCCCGTCAAACGACATGGGCGAAACAAATGACTATCGCCACGATCCCTGCCAGCCATCTTCATCGCAACCAAAGGTGAGCGTTTCTCGATTTCTTCGTCTAAAACGATCAGCTAAGACTGGCAAAGCTGCTGATCGCCGGCAGCAAGTTCTTCTCCCCGAAAACGAGTATCATTGTGTAGCAGACATCGATTACGCAACATGAATCTCATGCCTGTTCTCCCCGTCCACGAGTGTATAAATCGAGTCCCAACAAACATAATACGTACACTAATTGCAGGAACACAGCTTCCCTTGGGCTCAGCTGCCAAAGGAGCTGCAGGTGAAAGTGCTAAGTAACCTGCAGCGACGAGATCTGTGCCGATGTAGGGCCCTGAGCAAGCAAGTCTGCGAAATGATCGGGAATAATGAGAAATCGATGAAAAAAAGGCTTTTGGATTTTGTGAAAATTGAGAGGGTGAATATCTATCTATTTAACTCAGAAATCTATGAGTTGACTAAAGTTCGAGCCAAGACTTTGATTGCCTGAGCAGGGAATGATTAGAACCAAATTCAGATAGGGCAAGGCCGAGTACAACTGTCCATGAGATGCGATGAGGAAGAGAAGAAAATGAAGTGGGTTGCCTGCCAAAAGAGAAGAAGAAAAGATCCACTTAAGCTAGCAATGCAAATCAAGGCAAGTAACCATAACTCACCTTATCAGGATTTCATATTGCAAACTGTGAATACCCTGTCGGGAAACTTTTAAATCAGTCACTTTTCTCTTCAACGCATCACTAGTCAAATGAACAAATCTCAGCAAATAAGGCAAACTCTTCAAAAAGTGTACTCTGCGAAATTAATTTAAGTTAAAAGAAAAGAGAACATAAAAGAAAGAAAGAGCTGGAATGACGAATAACGAGTGCTCGAAATGATATAGGCCTTATATCTGAGGCCAGGTAATAATATCTTAGTTGTATCATCTCATTGACTAGCGAAACGCGTTGCCTAGAAATATTGCATTATTTTGAATTTTTTTAGAAGTTGTGCTTCAAAGCTGTTTTGCCACGCTATACAACGCAACCTTCTAATGATATGTTTGAAATTAAAGTAAGTTAGAGCTTACTCCTCAAAATTTGAAGGAGAAGTAATTAAGATAGACGGTAGGAAGTGAAGAATTATTAGAATTGGATGATAAAGAAATAAAGAAGAAATTGGAGAAGTCAGAACCGTAAAGTTTTGGAATAACTTTATATGAATAATAAATT